AGATTTGAGATATACATATATTAATGAAAAATAGGAGATTGAAATCGGAAAGATTATTCACGGTTCAGTGTCAATTTTGATAATTGTTGAAAATATAATTAAAAAATTAGTAAAAAAAAATAGAAAATAAATAATTACAAAAATGTCATTAGGATTTCTTAGGGTTGCCCAGCGTTTCTTTCTTTTATATATAAGATTACTCGCATTTTCTTCATGTGCGATGCACGGGATCGGATTTTAAAACTGAAAATTTGATCAATGTAACAAATCGAACTTTTATCTTTATTTCTTAAGATTTGAGATATACATATATTAATGAAAAATATATAGGAGATTGAAATCGGAACGATTATTCACGGTTCAGTGTCAATCGGAGGGCAAATAACGGTGCTACCGCGGTGCGGTCATTCGTTTCATTCACATTGCATTGCTCGCCACCTGTTGGCCCGACAATGACATCAAAACCAAGTTGTGCCCTTGTTGAATGTCTGTAGTCTATTATCCTAAATTGCCTTTCTAGTTTTTTTTTTCTAATAATACTTTAGACTATGATTATCAGATTTGTTTTGCACTTTGACTCCCAAACAAATTTGTTTTGCCCGTTTCGATGTTTTAGTTTCAATAAGAGTATTGATCATGTGTGTTTATAAACTAAGTTAAAGGAGTATTTATAACTTTTAAGCGTACATATAATTAAATTCATGCGTGTGTTAGGACTAAAAGGTTAAATGTGCAAAGTTATTGCATGTAAAACTTAAATATGACAATTTAAAGGACTAAATCTTTAAGCAAGCCAACATAGAGGACCAAAATTACAACTTTCATTTTCAAATTTACAGAACCTCATATGAAACGAATTACAATTTATATGGCTACATACTTTTATCTCACGTGCAATAATGTATCATCTCAATAACTATCTGCATGAAAAATTTGCCGGTGATCGAAGTTTTCCGACATTTTTCCATCAATACAAAACATACTAATGCCGATTTAATCATCATATTTCGGCTTAACGGCTTACAAACATTCGTTCGATTCATAAAACTCCAAGCGTTTGATTTTAGAAAGTACCGATTTTCAATCATACTCTCTCGATGGCTTCCACCTTCATAACCATAACAATCCTCCGTATTATAACTACTACAAAATAAGGACCTACCGGAATATTCTTGATCGACTTTTTTCCGTTCGATTTTCTTCTTCTCTTCTTCTACGTTTTCTTCTTCTTCATCGGCTAATAAATGGGGTGGTACCTCCGATTCCATCTGTTCCCATTCATTTATATCGAAGCCTACTTCAAGATAGTTAGCTCCGGACATGGCTAGTGCTTCTAACGAAACCGACATTTTGCTTTTTGGCAAAATAAAAATAAAAAAGGGCTTAAAATTCTGAAATGCAAGAAAAAGTAATTTTTCAATAAAAAGGGATTTTATTTATATAACAAGTGATGTTATACCAAAATTTAAAATTTGTTTGATGTATGGAATAGGGTGGCAACTGGCAAGGGTGCAATATATATAGATACAAGTTGGCATATTATCATCAACTTTGATTTTAATTTGAATAAAAAAGATTTTAATTAGCAAAATATTCATGTGACGGTCAACGTGTTGACTATGTTTTCTTCTATTGACATGATGCAGAGTATATTGAATTCAAGTACGAATTTTCATTGCTTGGACATTTTAAAAGCAGTCAAATGAAGAGCATGTGTTAATTATTAGAAGAAGCAAAGAAAATAAAGAATGGAAGTTTATATATAGCTAAGCTTAAATAACTAAGTTATTTTATTACTTGATGGTCAATTGCATTGTGTGTTGATATGTTCTACAAGGTCACGAGTACAATATGCAGCAATTAAAAAAAGAAAAAGACAGGTACCAAAATAAAATGTGAAATAAATTGTACTATGAAAGATTCACCAGAGAAACTTCAACTTATATATGTTGAACAAGAATGTCAATATACATTGTAGAGAGAAAGAGGGGTCACGGGAAATTTGCTGACATTTAATGTTTTTTGATAAAATTATAGGGTAAATTACGGTCACTTCTGAGATAAAGTTAAATTACGAAAAAAAATCCCTCTTGTTGAGTAATTACAAGCAATCCCCTCCACTATGAATCTTCTAACACGTCCATCCTTATCGTGTCAAATTCAACATAATCTTTTAGATTTCGTAGAACATTCTTTAATTGGTATTCGTTTTATGCAAAAATGCAGTTTTTGATGCACCGGCCACAATCTGATATTTACAACACAAGAGACTCGTCTTATGATCATCTTGTTTCAAAATGTGGAGCTCGAACGGGATAAAGCGGGTACAAACTGGAGAATATTCCACTTAATCTAGAAGATTCCACTAAATTTAAAACCGCAAGGATGGACGTGTAAGAAGATTCATAGTTGAAAGGGTGTTTGTAATCACCCAAATTTATACGGAGATTCGTCTGAAATACTACGTCACATGAAAAAAGAGATGTGTTTTGCTGACATCTCTGTACGGATTTGAATTAATTTATTTTTCAATTTATGTTTAATAAGAAAAATAGTACATATTAAACTAAATATCTAGAATATTATCAATAAGAAAACACCAATATCCTGTTCCAATAAGAATATAATAACTTGTATATACAATAAATAATTACAATCATAATCTAATTATATAACGAGCAATCCTAAATAAATAACAATCGTAATAATGCTAATGTACATGTCAACTTGTTTGTTAATGTAGTCATAGTTGAATACGTCACTTTGAATTTTCAACATAACTCAACTATATATATACTAACAGCATACCCATGCAAACTACCCACAAGAAAAAAAGGCAAACTTTTATTACGTAAAGATACTTTTCCCTATTTCTTTTTTTTTATAATTTTATTTCAGAGGTTGCAAATTATAAAGAATGTCGTCGTTAGTTTCGCTAGAAGCTTTAGCCATGTCCCGAGCCGATTGTAACGAATATTGCTTTGATATCGACGAATGGGAAGAGATGAACTCACACGTGCCACCCCACTTATTGGCTGAATATTTCGAAGAAGATGTTTTCGAAGAAGACGGAGAAGAAGAATCTGAAGAAGCGAAGAAATTACTAGATAGTTTATATTTTCCGTGTAGTCAATACTATAGGTGTGGTATAATTAGTTTAATTATTTACATGTTTGGTTGGTAAGTTTACAAATAAAATGTTGCCCATTTTATACTACTTAATTAACCTTTGATGGCTCCATGAATGTTCGAGGTACATTCCACAGTTAAAATATCAATATTTTAAATCTGGTCAGATATTCATACAAAACGTTTTGGATATATTTTGTAAGAAATTTCGATGATAGAAATTTTGTATATGATATATAAATAATAATATGCATACGCCCCCAATTAAATATAATTTATGTTAGAATCCCTTGGATTCTAATTATACGAGAATTAAATAAAACTTGTGCCACAAGTTTGCATATACCGTGAGCTAAAGAAGGGAAGAGTCCTTGTAGCTTTTAATCCTTTTAATTTGTTATTAATTGATTTATAATAGGATTTATTCTTGTAAAGAGTTATTCTTATTTTAACACAAGTCTTTCTTGTGTGCAGGTCTCTTATTGTTAGAACCAAAATTGGATTCTATATTGAAAATCTTGTGATAAGGCATTATCTCATTATTAAATATCCTTTGTGATTCTTATACGTCTCTTAATTATTAGACTCTTACAGGTTCTCACATGACAATATACCGGCTTCAAGGCTTTGTGGTGAAGACACCAAGATTCAAGGAGTATCACAAGTTTGCTTATTCTATATAAAAAGAAGATCGGTTCTTCGGGAGAGGGGCTTATTCAAGGAGTTCAACTGTGCGGAGCAAGGGACGTGCTGCAAATTGAAGATTTATAATTCAGCGTAGTATACAAGAACGGCGTCAACAAAGAGGGAGTCTTTGTATTTTGATTAGGGCTGAAAGTCGGAAGGATCGGATCGGAATTAGCATTTTCGGAATATTTCCAAAAAATTTCGGAAGTACAAAATCAATTCCAATTCCAATTCCAAAATTTTCGGAATCTAAAAATTCATTCCAATTCCAAAAGGCCCGGAAATTTCGGAATTTCGGAAATTTTTCGGAAATGACATAAGTATTAAAATTTCGAAACTTCGCTGAAAATTTCATAATTTGCTAAAAATAAAAACATCCACGTCGATAAAAATAACTACTAAATTTCAATTCAAAAAATAAATAAAAATAAACGACATCATAATATCCAATAAAACTTCTAGCAAAAATTAAATAAACTCTTTGGCTTTGCACAAGAAATAATAAACGTAAAACTAGGGTTTTACATAAAATAAACTAGGGCTTTTTTAGGTGACATGGCCCATAAAGAATAAATACATATATATATATATATATATATATATATATATATATATATATATATATATATATATATATATATATATATATATATATATATATATATATATATATATATATATATATATATTACTCAAAGATGTATTTTTTGGAAAAAAATCGGTTTTTTTTCGGAAAAAAATCGGAATTTTTTCGGAATTAATTTCGGAAATAATCGGATCGAAAATCGGAAATTCCAATTTTTTTTTATATAATTCCAATTCCAATCCAAAAAAATCGGAAAAAATCGGAAATCGGAAATTCGGAAATCGGAATGAAAAAAGTTGTTCCAAAATCGGAACTTTTCGGATCGGAACCGGCGGAAATCGGAATTTCCGTTCCAACTTGCACCCCTAATTTTGATTAAGTCCTACTATTGTATTCGTAAAACTAAAAATTAGTAAATTTTATTTGCAGGTCCCCGTGGATGTAGGGTACAATTGTATCCGAACCACATTAAATTTGTGTCTCGTTTATTTCAGTTTTACAAACTGTTTCACGAACTGTTGCAGCACTTCACGCAAAAGTAACGAAAAACTTAATCTGACACAAATAATTTATATGTGCACGAAATAAATTATATCAATTTAAATATTACTTTTTTTTGCATTTTGGAAATAAAATTATTAACTATACTTTTTGCATAATTTAAATTTGCAATAGACAACAAACAAACTTTAATACTAGACCATTTTAAATTAAAACATAAAATATAAGACGCAGAGACTAATAATTATACACCTGAAATTTATTCAAATAAAAAAATTTTATTCAAATACTACCAAATCCCCCAAAACGACGACGTTTTCACTTCCAAATATATTTGATAGGCACAAGAGTGAGGTGTGTTTTCTTGTGCACAGTAACTCCTCCCTCTTCTTCCAAGCCAGCAACATCTTCCACACTCACACCATCAGCCACTCTCCAGTCAAACCAACACAAGAGATTGGCCAAAGTCAACTCTATAGTGGCAATAGAATTGCTAATGCCAGGACAGATTCTCCTACCGCCACCAAACGGCACGAACTCGAAATGCTGCCCCCTATAATCGACTTCGTTTTTGTCGAACCTCTCGGGATCGAACTCGTCAGGATTCTTCCAGAAGCTTCCGTCTCTCCCTATCGCCCAAGCGTTGACCAAAACTCTTGTCTTGGGGTGGACATCGTAAATTTCGCCGTTTCTTTCGTCGCGTATTTGACACGTGCGCGTGGTTTCTCGGGGGATCAAAAGGGGTACCGGTGGATGGAGCCTTAGGGTTTCTTTTACTACCATTTTCAAGTATGTGAACTTACTAAGATCATTAGCTTCAACTTTTGGCTTTGCTCCAAGATTGGATCTTATTTCTTGTTGTACTTTATGCATTGTTGATGGTTTTCTCATGAGTTCACACATTGCCCACACTATTACTATTGAACTTGTGCCTACTCCTCCAAGAAATGTGTTCTTGAAAAACAAAAAAAAAAATGGTTAATAAAAAAATTAAAAAAAAAAAAGAGTTTATTGCATTTAGTACCCCAGTGTTGTATCGAACTATTGTATCGAACTGCTAAAACTCTCCATGTTATTTTATTCGCAAAAACCCCCCTTATAATACTTTTTTTAAGCACGCAATGACCTAAATAGCGTGTTTTTACTTTTTAGGGGTAGTTCGCCAAAACAAATGAATCATATGAGGTATTTTAACATTTAGAGAAAATACAGGGGAGTTGAATGCAATAAAGCCTATGTTAAATGTTAGATTATTTACCATTAACATAGCCTTGATTTGCTCCTTGCTCAATGGATTCATTAGGCCATTTTCTTGATTCGACAACCTAATCAAGGCATCGACTAGGTCTTCTTCATCATCGTCGCCTTTCCGCGTACTTTCAAGATTGTAATGTTCATCGAGCACCGTCTCTAAATATCCATCGAGTTTACGAAAGCAATTATCGAGCCTCGCTTTGTGCCCCGTCAAAAAATCCGCAATCCGACCGACCAGAGGGAAAAAATCCTCCCCGGAGAAGCTATCCAACATGCGCATAGCTTCATCCATAACGTCTTTCAACACTTGTCCCTCGAATTGCTTCCCTCTATATCTCCTACCAAATGCAACCGTGCCAATAACTCCATCAACCAAGTCATAAATCTTCTCATCGAGATTTATCGGATTTGGCGACGCCGCGGATAAATAATCGATTAAATTACCGATTTCTTTCTCCCTTGAAGTGGAAAAAGAATCGGCTCTCTTTGAATTCAGGAGATGGGAAACGAATATTTTGCGCGTATTCCGCCAAAAATCACCGTACGGTGAGAAAGCCACATCGGACAAACCGTAGAAAATCCTATTCGGCCCCGGTGATCTTGGCCGGCTACAAAAGCTAATATCTTGTTCTTTAAGGACTTGTTTTGCAAAATCAGCGGATGAAATAACTAAAGTTGGTATACTACCGAGATGTAAGAGCATAGCGGGCCCGTATTTATGGGAGAGATTCGAGAGGCTTTGGTGGGGCAATTTCCCTAGTTGGTGAAGATTGCCTATGATCGGAAGCTTCGGTGGGCCCGGTGGAAGCTTATTTCCGGTGACGGGTTTTTTCTTTATTTTCAGAAAGAAAAGGGCTACGGCTAGAAGAAAAAGGAAGCTTATAATAGTAGTCGAAGACATTTTTTTTGTTTATGGAAAGAGTTGATCAAGAAAGAGGAGGATATATAAAGGAAAAGGATTGAAAGAAGTTATTGTGAAGACGACATTCTAAATATAATGTTTGGTGTGTATCTAAAATGATGTTGTCTAAGTCGAGACAACATCGGTGATTACTGCGGCATGCAGTCTGCACGAAGGCGAAAAGAAACAAAGGAAATGGTTAACTATGTGTCAGTTTCATTCATGTTCATCAAGAATTGCATGTGATCGAACTTGGCACTATGCGATAGAGATAGAAACAAAATAATTCTATATATATATATATATATATATATATATATATATATATATATATATATATATATATATATATATATATATATATATATATATCATGTGTGTGTGAGTGTGTGAGTGTGTGTGAGAGAGAGGGGGGGGGGGACAAATGGCAACATATACGAAAAAAATCATGGTATATTTACTGTCAATATTCTATACTCAACTTTGTGTTTAATTTCGAGAGGTTCGATTCGACCAAGAACTCATTTTGTCATAATGACCAATTAATTACAAGGAGAATTTAAAAAAAAAAAGGGGTTGGTCAAAGTTACCTTATCGCCCCCCAGAGAGCTCGATAGCATCCTGATTGTAAATCGAATTTTCGCCCCAATCAAATCTTCTTTGTAACCGATCGTATTCTTGCATTCTCGTAATTTCGACATGCTGCCATAATTGCCACCTCTCAGTAAGACCTTCTCCCTCCAGCATTCGGACAACCTCGGACATTTTAGGACGGTCTTCGGGCGAAGATTGAGTGCAGAGAAGTGCCACCTGGATCATCATCTCCACTTCTTGGATATCATAGTTTCTACTTAAGTTGGGGTCCACTATTTCGTCCAGTTTTTTCTCCCTTTGCAGCTTCTTCACCTTCAAAAACGTCATTTAATTTATTACACATGGGTTCCGATAATAATCTAATATTGAAAAACGGTAAAAAACGTGAAAAAATGCATCGCATAAAATCCTCCACATTAGATAAAATGAAGTATTACATGATTAATTTTTTTTTTTTTTTTTGCAAACTACCCCTAAAATGGGGGGTTGTGTGTGTGTAAAAAAATGCATCATAGGCGGGTTTTTATTATATTAATAACTCAGGAATATTTTAGCAATTCGATATAAAACAGGGGTACTGAATGCAAACATCCTCTAATTCAATTTTTTTTAGGAAACTACCCATAAAAACTCACCATATATTAGGGGGTTGTATGCTAAAAAAATGCACCTTAGGGGGAAGTTTTACTAATATTAATAATTGAGGAGTTTTCTTGCAATTCGACATAACACAGGGCTACTGAATGCAATAAACTCTCAACAAAATTCTTTAAGTCAAAAAGCAATGTACCAAAACATATATGTGATGATAGATATAGCTTACATGGTCAAGAAGCAAAACATCGTCTCATCCTCC